CAATGCTACACAGATGACCAAACAATACCCTTGAATGACAGAACAAAAACCTTTTCCCACTGTAAACTCTAGTCTATTTAGCCTAGAACTAATCTAAGACATATAGTCTAAAACGATGCCCTAAATACTCCAGTATATATTTTATCAATCCCAAAAGGTTTTTATCATTTAAGTTGAAAATAATTTTTAAAAGAATAGCAATTTAGATAAAATCGAGTAATATATCCTCAAAGAAATTGGTGAACATTTCACCCTTGCGTGAACTCCCTATTGTACACATTCCTAAACCTTTAAAGCATTTTTAAAAATATGCTAAGAAAGTATTAATTCATTGAGACTAGTTTAATGAGAATATTTTGCATAGTTTATAACAAGGACATAAACAGTGCTATAGCACTTGAATAAGTAGTATCAAACAATCCATACATTTAAAATTTAGCTCAGCAGTATAATTGAAAAACAAAACAAAGTAATCTATAATGCTACTCAATCAGGTAAAATATAAAAAGTTGCAATAATTTAGTATATAAGCTTTAAAAATAATTTAAAAAATTATGCTGAATGGAATCTTATTCTAGGATTTGCTTGACTAACATTTGTGTGCATTGGGGTCCGATCCTCAGCACACTCTCTTAAAAAAAAAAAACCAGTATAGAGGAGTGGCTGAGGTAGAGATGAAACAAGACTCACCATTTTTTAAAATAATTTAAGACTTCCTAAAAAAAAAATTGTATAGTAAAAAGATACAAAAAGTAAAAGAAATTTAAAAAAACTCTCTTAACTCTAAAGCTACATAACTTTAAAAACTTAAAGCTTATAGAGAGTATAGACAATCTATAACTGTAATACTAAAACTTTCAGGGCTAAATGAAAATGAAGGCTTCTATTGGTATCTTAATGACTCATGAGATTCAGGCATACATTTTTATTTCAAGAAGAGCACAAGAAGCTTTTTTTTTTGTTTTGGTTGTGGGGCTTGAACTCTGGGCCTGGGCACTGTCCCTCACCACTTCTGGTTTTCTAGTGGTTTATTGGAGATAAGAGTCTCACAGACTTTTCCTGCCTGGATTGCTTTGAGCCAAGATCCTCAGATCTCAGCTTCTTGAGTAGCAAGGATTACAGATGTGAGCCACGGCACCCAACACAAGATGCTATTAGTATAACTCTTTTTTATATTTTGCCTGTCCTGGGGCTTGAACTCTGGGCCTGTGCATTGTCCCTGAGCTCCTTTGCTCAAGGCTAGTGCTCTACTACTTAAGCCTTAGCATCACTTTCAGCTTTTTCTGTGATTAATTGGAGATAAGGTTGTCACAGACTTTCCTGCCTGGGCTGGTTTCAAACTGTGATCCTGAGATCTCAGCCTCCTGAATAGCTAGGATTACAGGCATTCAAGTCAACTTTTAATTTAGTTAACTGAGTAGGGGGTTCCCTACATTCTTTTCTTAAAGACATTCTATGATTTTTGCTTACTTTTTAGAGAAGTATTAAAAAAAACTTCTGCTTTTTAAACTAAGTACTGAGACAGAAGGGAAAACAGTCTAAATAAGCCTTAAAAAATCATGATTGTCTTCCTTTGCATAGATAAAAAGAATAGTGTATCCAATTTAAACATTTAAGAGTTTCAGGTTAAAATAAATATATTCTAATATACTTTCTGGACCTACTTTATGAAATACTAACCTTATTTCTATATGGCCCTCCTAGTATAGGAGTTTAGGCACAATAATATGATCATACTTGTAATTTATTTTAAATGTATTATTAATCAACAGTAACAACAAGGGTGGATAAAGCTGAGCTGTCAACTTTTACTAATGAACTTGTGACTATCTAGGACAATTTGCCTACACTCTGGGATTTAGTCTTCTTACCTGTCCAAAAAAAAAAAAAAAGCCTTCAAACTTTGACATTTCACTAATCCAGAGCTTATATGTGCACACATGGGTACACACACACACACACACACATGCATGCACTACTGAAATAGGTACTACTCAATGTGAGTTTTACTTTGATACTTTCTACTTATTTTCATTTTCAGAATGCCATGGATAATTACTAAATTGATTTCAAGCTACTACAGTTACTCCATACCTGAGATATCTTCTATTTCTGACATTCTAGGATTCTAGAAATAACTACAGAACACTCAGTCTACCTCACATGGAAATACTGATTTCACCAAGGTACTAGTTGAAATACTGATTAATAAAAAAAAAAAATCACAAGATGAAGTTCAGAGTTCTAAAATTCTAGTTACATTTTTGTAAAATAATAACTGTAACATGACATAATACTTTTAAGCCAACTAAAATCTTAAATTGACCTACTAAGCTTCTTAACTTTATACACATATTTATAACTGTCAAACATCTATCTCCATGGTAAGTCTATAAATTTGAGTAGTCAAGAAAGTTTATGTTCAAAGTAACTTTTTCTTTTTGGGTCGTGGGGCTTGAACTCTGGGCTTGAGCACTATCCCTGCGCTCTTCATTTCAAGCTGAGCGCTCTACTGCTTGACAGTGCCACTTCTGGTTTTCTAGTGGTTAATTGGAGATAAGAGTCTCATGGGCTTTTCTGCCTGGGCTGGCATTGAACCATGATCCTCTGATCTCAGCCTCCTGAGTAGATAGGATTACAGGTGTGAGCCACGGGCGCCAGGCTCAAAGTGACTCTTAAGAGACTCCTTACAGAGAAAAAGTAATAGATGAAGACCAATCCCTGTTAAATATGCCAAATACTAAGAATCAGCAAAACAGGGAATATGAAAAAAAAATTTAGGTACATAAAGTAAACTAGAAATAGCTTTTACAAATGTTAAATTTATAAGTTCTTATTTCTAAATGCCACAGTGTTTAATGGAGATGGTTTAATTTAGGTGTTAACGAAATCAATTCTATAACTAGTTGAGTACAGTTAAGTTTATTTATCAAATGGATATGTTAATTAGAACTTAGAAGTCCAGAAACTTTTCCTTCCCTCATCATGAAGTATTTTAAGAATTGTATACGGAATTATTTTTGAAAGTGATATTAGGGTTTAAACTCAGGGCCTTCCACTTGCTAGACAAGTAATGTACCACTTACTTAGCCCATATCATCATTGCTAATTAAGATTATAAAAATTATAGTCTCTGATTAAAAGATTGCATGTATAACACATCAGCGTGAATATAGTCTTAGATTGGAAAACTAAAAATTTTCCTGTCTTTAGTCATCTTTATAGTTTTAGAAAGAAAAATACACATGCTAACTACAAAATGTTTAATTTATGCAAAATAATTATCATTTTAAGCAAAAAGTAACCTCAAATTATTTTCTTTTGTTCATTTCTTTTTTAAAAAAACCTTCTTTCTCAATTTTATTCTTCTTCAGTCTAATTACAAGATCTTTCAATGCTAATTTCCAATGACCCTAACATTTAACAAATTTCAATTTTAATCAAAATCCTCATAGGTTAAAATATTTCACACGTGTGTGTGTGTGTGTGCGTGTGTGTGTGTGTGTGTGTGTGAGCGAGCGCATGTGTGCCAGTCCTGGGGCTTGAATTCAGGGTCTGGGCACTGTTCTTGAGCTCTCCACTTAAGCCACAGCTCTACTTCTGGCTTTTTGGTGGTTAATTGGAGATAAGAGTCTCAGATTTTCCTGCCCAAGTTGGCTTTGAACCACAATTGTCAGACCTCAGCCTTTTAGTAGAGCAGAATTATGGGCATGAGCCACTGGCACCTAGCTTTCCTTTCATTTCACAATTCTTAGTATGCCAAAGAACTTGATTTCCTAAAAACTGGTCTCTCAAAAAACATACAATAAGGTCTGGGAAGGTGGCTCAATGGTAGAGTGCTTGCCTTGCATGCATGAGGCCTTGGGTTTGATTCCTCAGCACCACGTAAGCAGAAGAAACTGTAAGTGGCACTGTGACTCAAGTGTAGAGCTCTAGCCTTGAGCTGATTAGCTGAGGGACAGTGTCCAAGGCCCAGAGTTCAGGCCCCATGACTGACCAAAAAAATTAAATAAATAAATAAAATAAAACATTAGGCAGTTACATTTCTTCCCCCATTCAAAATGTGTTGAAATCTAACCATACAGAAGTGATATCTAAGGACTCTCATTGGACTTTGGAGCTTTGTAAACCACTGGAAACACAATGCTTCTCATTATTTTCATAAAAAGACAATAAAATTCTGCTCAGTATGTCAAACAAACTCCTTTTTTTACTAAATTAAGGTATTTTCTTACACTTAAATGACTGTCTTCTGTTCATTACAACTATTACATGAAAAGAAATCTTAAATTCTGTATTTCATTTGATAGTTTTAACTAAAACTATCAAAAAATGAAAGTTTTCAAATAAAATATTTTAAAATAGATTACTGATACTTAAGTTTACAGTACTATAATATCATAAGCCTCCATAAATACCTCTTAAAATACCATAGTATGGTCAATAATTACTTTAACTGGTTTGCAACACTTGTAGGACAAACTGTATCTTTTTAAAACATTGAATTCTTTTAAAATTCAGAAGCAAATCAACTTCTTTTTCTTGATGTACAAAAAATATCTATCATATTCCTTGGATCCCTACCATTTCCTTCAGTGAAATCGTGCTCTTAGGTAACCTCTAGGACTACGACGGTATAATTTCAGAATGGGAATTCTATTTTTTTTTTATTGCAATTTCCAAGCCTTAAAGAACAGATAGGAAAAAGAAAACAAGTTAACAAAGAGGTTTTTAAAAGCCTCCTGTTAAAAATAGGCAGAAGGATTTATATTTCATTTCACTAAATATTATAAATTCTGTAATAAGCTCAATATATTTTTTTCTAAAGGAAAACATTTACCTCAGTCCATCTCAGCAACTATGAACAATACATTAATAAGAAAAAACAATCTGCCCTGGTACTTTCATTCGAAGATTACAATTCTAAAAATTTCTAAAACCAAATATATTTCCATATGTACACTCTTTACTTAATCATGATTGCTGAATTAAATCTGTACCTATGTGAAAATGGCAATGCATTCTGAGTTGGTTCAGCCCTTGGCTCTGAGTTCTGTGTCACATCAGGTGTTCTTTCATCATCCGTCCCATTAATACTTTCTGGTGTTAAAGGAGACTGAAGATCTCCACCTGCTGATTCCTGCAAGAAAAGGGGTGGGGGAGAAAAAATAGTTACACTTTTGTTCAAATATACATCTTCAAGTTAAAACCACCTCTGACATCTTAAAGAACAAAACGTCAATAGAAATTTAAGAAAAAGCTTAAAAATAACTTAAAGAGAAATATATTTTGAAGCAAAGCAAGCTATAAAATTCACTGAAACACAATACACCTTAGAATGATAAGCATAACACAATTTGGAAATGTAGTTTCAAAAAACTTGAAAAAGCTGGGCGTCAGTGGCTCACGCCTGTAATCCTAGCTATTCAAGAGGCTGAGATCTGAAGATCATGGTTCAAGGCCAGCCCAGGGAGGAAAGTCTGTGAGACACTTATCTACAATTAACTACCAGAAAATCAGAAATGGCGCTGTAGCTCAAGTGGTAGAGTACTAGCCCTGAGCTGAAGAGCTCAGGAACAGCGCCCAAGCCCAGCATTCAAGCCCCATGACCAACAAAAACCAAACCAAACAACACAAAAACCTTGAAAAAATTTGGGACACTACAAGCAATCATCTGGTCAGAATAAAAGGTATTCAAAGGTGGAGTCAGTGGCTCACTACTATAATCCTAGATATTCATGAAACTGAGATCTGGTTTGTGGCCAGCCCAGGCAGAAAAGTCCTTGAGACTCCATTTCCAATGAACTAGTAAAATGTCAGTCTGAAGACATGGCATTTAAAATTCAGAAGCAAATGAATGTCTTTTTCTTGGTGTACAAAATTATCTATTATATATCCCTGGATCCCTTCCATTTCCTTCAGTGAAATCATCCTATTAGATATACTCTAGGACTAGGATAGAGTACCAGCCTAGCTCAAGGATCTGAGTTTAAATCCATGGGCTATCAAAGAAAACCAAATAGTCGAAGAATTACTTAAAAAAAAAAAAAAGGATTACAGTGACTGTGATGGCTCATGCCACTCAGGAAGCTGAAGCCTTGAGTTTGTGGTCAGTCTGTACTATTGAGTGAGACCCTGTTCCAAAAAAACCCCAAAATAGCAGAAAAATGCAAAACAAACAACAAGAAATATGTAATCTTGCTTTGGAGAAAGAAGGAACTAGAGGAGAAGAAGAGAATGAGGAAAGGAGGGTTAAATGAAATCTGCAACAAATTTAAATTTTTAATCTGCTCTAAATTTCAGTTCATTTAGAGCTATTTGGAAATGTAACCGGAAATACCTTAATAACATATATCATAATACTACTAGTACATTCCAGCTTTCCTTCTCTAGTAGTCATAATAGAATTGTCTTCACAAATCTTATCTTTACTTTTAATCAAGTTTTGCCTATCAAAGTAAGCTTACTTTATTCTTCTAGAAAATAAAATTCAATATATAACCCAAGTTATTACTTTTTTTTTGTCCATCATGGAGCTTGAAATCTGGGCAATATTTCTTCTTGTAAATAATAAAAATAATAATTTATTCTTATAAGTGATTTCTAATACCTGGTTATCATTCATTTGATAAACCTGTTACATAGTAGCGCAGAAAAAGAGCAAAAGGAAGAAAAAGAGAAAAAGAAATAAAGATGGGGTGGAGATCTCAGATAAACATCTTCTAATCTTTTGATATAAATTATTTCCTATCCTTGGTCACCATCCAGAGCTACTATCTCTGAAATCAGGATTTTCAGACACTCATAATAGGTCCTTCAAAAAAATATTTTATTACTTTTAAGTAGTTGTACAAAGGAGTTGTCATTCACCAAAGCAGTTTATGAATACAGTGCATTTTGATCAATATCACTTCTTTCAACATTTCTCACCTACCTACCTACTCCCCACCCCTTCCCATAACTTAATTTTAGGCTAGGTATTAAATTTTTTTGCAGCAAAGTAGTTTATGTGTACAATGCATCTTAATCTGTGTCACTACTTCAACATCTTCACTCTTACTCCTTCCCTTATATTTATCAATTCTGTAGTATATACAATGAATTCTTGCCTGCATTCTGCCCCCTTCCTTTTTCATTCTTCTGCCCCTCTCCCCTTGGCCCATCCTCAGCTCCAGTGGCACAACTGGTTACTTTTAGATGGAGTCAAAATAGTTTTTATAGGGCTACAGATATAGCTCAGAAGTAGAGCACTAGCCTTCCATCTTCAAAGCATCAGAACTGTGGGGGGAAAAATCTCTTTCTGCATTAGCAATGTTCTGCCTTCTCTATGGTAAAGGGTATTGACAGATGATGCACAAGGTTAATGGATTATTCTTCATTCTTATGTATTTTTCACCCACCACTTGCATTAAATGCTTAATAAGAATTAGCTGTACTTGTCCCTAACCTATTTATATCAATTATATTCATATAATGACTATTTTATAAATTAATAAAGTATGAATATAAGCCAGAATGATTATCTTAATGAAAACCAAATGAAACAGTGAAGATAAATGGCTAAAAATTAAAATATACCCCACAACTGAATTAGACATATGTAATTTACTCTGTATTATTATATATCATAAGTACCACTATATAGCAGAAAAATGACATAGAAATCTAATATCACACTTATTTTTTTTTTAATGTAAAGACTGCAGGGAGCAAGCTTCTGGGAATTGGGAGGAAATTCACTACCAGTATAGTTTATATAAGGAAGAAAAGGTGGAGGGCAGGGGTTGGGGAACATGGCTCAAGTAGTAAAATGTCTGCTCAAAAGCTCAAGGCCCTGAGCTCTAATCCCAATACCACTATACTTAAAAAGAAAAAGTAAGAAAAAAAAAAGATATGGTGGGATTCTAGACAATAGATCATAATCAAAGTATTAGTGAAAAATAAGGCACTGTATTACTGAGTTTTAATTTATAAATTATAAAAGCACAAATTCTTTCCTAAGAAACTTTTCACATTAACTGACATCTGATAAATGCTGTACAACCTCCTGTTCTCCCAATCCATCCCACTCCTTTACACATACCTGTTCTTCAACCTTACCTAAACTTGATGCAATCTCTTTACTATAAGCTATTGTGCTACTTGGTCAGGCTCATTCTAGATTTAATTTTCTACACACATCCCTCCAAAAGTCTAAGAATGGCGAAATGGAACTTTGCTCTAAATGTCTGGCTTCTTTCTACTCAAGCCTTTTCAGAGGCAAAATGTCTACATACTGCTTCTAAAAGCATAGTCAAAACAGCATCAGCATCTCAGGAGTTAGAAATGCAAACAACCTGAGCCCCATCTCAGCTTTACTAAATAATATAGTGGGGGAGGGACTCAATAATGTGTGTTTTACAAGCCTTCTACAGAATTGAGGCAACATGTATACAATTAAGGCATCTAAATTGTATTATGTAATTCTTATGTGCCAGCTACCATTTAAAGGCTTTATATCAGTAGCTTCACCATTATAATCATACCATCAGCCATAGATATTTACATTTATTGAGCAATTACTACATGCTAAATACTTCCCAACCCTCACTGAACTCTTCCAATAACCCTAGTCCCATTTTGTGGATAAAACAGGAGTACTTTGTCTTAATTTCTTAAAATTAATAAAGGTTAGATACAAGATTAAAATCCTCCAATTTCTTTTTTTGGGGGTGGGGGGGGTCCGGTCGTGGGGCCTGAACTCTGGGCCTGCACGCTGCCCCTCAGCTCTTCAGCTCAAGGCTAGCGCTCTACCACTTGAGCCACAGTGCCACTTCCAGCTTTTTTCTTTTTGCTTATGTGGTGCTGAGGAATCAAACCCAGGGCCTCATGCATGCAAGGTAAGCACTCTACCACTGAGCCACCTTCCCAGCCCAAATCCTCCAATTTCTATAGCCTACATTATTAAATACTCATTCTTCTAAACCATTCTATAAAGTAAATGTTATGCTAAGGCTACCAATATATATATATACATATTTGGGTAAAACAACTTTCCCAAGATCCTACAGCAACAGAAAAAGGATTTGTCTAAATTTATCCGTCTTGTAAATGTATACTTTTTTCTTTTTGATGCTAGGGCCTGATAATATGGTAGGCAAGTACTCTACCATTAAGCTACACCTCCATTCTGAAGACCCAAGTACTCTTAACTAATGTGTTAACTATGACCGATTTAGTATCTATTACTCTTGATTATTTCACCTAAACAGTAACTCATTATTCTGTTTATTCTTCTTTCTGCCCAATTCCTAAGTAACAGCCTACTTTTCAGGCAGAGAATTAACTCAATAGTGAATTAAGCCCCCAATTTTAGGTGAGTAGACTAGAAGTTGGCCGAGGGTAATGTACTTCAAATGAAACAGAAACATTACAAGAAAGAAGAGTATGAAAGAAATGAAAGAAATACCTTTTTGACTACACTCTCTGTCTTTGACACATTACTAATCAGGTAAAATATTTTGAAAGATAAAAGTATGCCTATTTTGGTTCTCAAATGCTGATGACTTTGATTTTATACTTCCCTATTTTTTTAAATTTTTCACAGCATTTCCCAAATATAAGTATCTTTGATATATCCCTCTGGCAAAAGTAAAGGCTTACAGACAAGCATTCCATGCAAGAGGAGTAGGTATCCAAACAACAGGTGATAGTATACAACTAATTAAAAAAGATGTTATGATAAAGAGAAAGAAACAATGGCAAGCTTTAATGCACTATAATTGGTGTCCTTCAATTTTCTCTTACTTAATGTGTTGTTTCATCTTCCTGTAAAAACAGAATTACTAACTCAGGGCTTCCTACTTCCTAAGGAGGCACTCTACGCATTTAAGCCAGGCATTCTGGTAATAGGCCTTTCATTCAGGGCCTAGATACTGTTCCTGAGCCTTTCTGCTCAATTCTAGCTCTCTACCACTTAATGCCACACCTCCACTTCTGGTTTTTTGGTGGTAAATTGGAGATAAAGAGTCTCACAGACTTTCCTGCACAGTCTGGCTTCAAACCATGATTCTCAGATCTCAACCTCTTGATTAGCTAAGATTGTAAGCATGAGCCAGCAGTGCTCAGTTGGTATTAACTATTTCTGAGAAAGGGCTTCATTTTTTGTCTGGGTTAGTCTGGCCCACAACCTTCTTATTTATACTTCTTCCTGTTGTAGCTGGAATGACAAGTGTGTGACCTATACCCAAAGTTTTCTATTGAGATAGAGGGGTCACATTACTTTTTTGCTCAGGACAGCCTAGAACTCAACCCTCCTGATTTCAAGCCTTAGAGGAACCAAAGGCCCTGCAGGAAGTATCCCATTTGATATCAAATTACAAGCTCAAAGCCACATCTTCCTCTATTTTGCCTTCATACCTCAGAGACACTATTCCTTTACCTTAATAATCCTAGGGCCAGATGCCAGGTGACTTGATGCTATTGATAGCTAATTCTAAAGAGTTTTCCATGGAAAACCCACGAAAAGCTCTACCTTGGTTTTCCCTTTGCCCCTGCTTTCTGCCTGACCATCCCCGAGGCTTTCCCAAGGGATTCTACATGTTATACCATGCCTAGTTTCCATATCCTATGAGTATACCTTGTATTTTTTCTGAACCTCTATTGTGGTTCCTTTCATGTCCTAATTTGTCTGACCACCACCATCTATATAAAAGAAAATGAAATAAAAGCACAGGCCAATCTATATCATCTTTGGGTACTTATGCTTTTAAGTTTTATGTAGATTGATCTGAGTTTTCATTAATAACTTGAATTTTTAAATATTCTTACAATGATATGTACAGAAAAAAAACTACCAACAGAGATCAGAGAGTGTATTTCTATGTCAACTTTGTAAGCTTTTCCCAAATTAACTCTAGCATAAAGGATAACTGAAACTAACAAGTCACATAAACACAAACAGAAATGAAATCTTTACCTGTGAAGGTGTACTGGTAAGTTCCATCTTTTCTTGTGATTTCTCCTTTGCTAGTCGAGCAGCTTCTTTAAATTCCTGAAACTTTTCTGCAAACTGAATGTATAAAGACTATCTACATTAACAAAATAAGCCAAAGCGATCATTTTTACCTTAGTTTGCTTTCATTTTCTTACACAAGCAGTACAGCCTCCAAAGCAATTATAACTTGTAATATGATAGAAAAAGAAGCTTATCATCAAATAATTATTATACATAAAGCACTCAAGATCAATCTTATAAAAGTATTATAAATAAGTTGGAATTCACTATTAACCATTGTATTTATATACCTCTGTTGTTCAGAAATTATGTAAGACCAATGTGGGCAGAGGGTGGGAAGTAGAATCAATAAAGATAGCATACTATGTTTTCTTTATTACTGAATTTAGGTATCTACTTATTAACATCAGAGTACTAAGGAAATAATTTGTTATTACTAAAGTATCAGTATTACAAATGTACTATTATCAATGACAAAAATAAAAATTTATTCCCAAAGATTTCTAAACAGCAATGTTCAGCACCAGAAAAGTGTGAAATACTTTACAAGGTCTTTAAGACTGATAATTTGAAGACAAAATATTGCTCATGAAATGCTAATTCTTAGAAAAACACAGGAATAAAATTCCTCACCCTGTTTATTGGCTCTCACATTGTATTGCATCAGAGTTGAGACTCTAAATCCAGATAAAATACCATTTTCCCTAATATACTAATTTATATGTGCCTACTGTCATATCAAAAAGCTGAAATCTAGTTGAGCGACAGTGGCTTATGCCTGTAATCCTAACTACACAGGAGGTTGAGGTCTGAGGTTCAAAACAGTTCAAAACCAGCCCAGGCAGGAAAGTCCATGAAACTCTTATCTCCAGTTAATCTCAGAAAAAGCCAGAAGGGGAACTGTGGCTTAAGTGATAGAGGGCTAGCCTTGAGCAAAATGAAGCTCAGGGACAGCACTCAAGCCCAGAGTTTAAGCCCTAGAACTAGGGGGTCGGTGGTGGGATGGGGAAGGAAGCTGAAATCTGTGTCGCTATCAGATTCAGAGGGATTTGTGGCAGGAAGTTACTGGAATTTGATCCAAGGGCTCTGCACTAAAGGCTCTGCACTTGCTAAGCAGAAATTCTACCACATTAGCCAGGCCCAAGACCTTCTTTGCTTTAATATCAGATAAAGTCTCATGCATTTTTGCGCAGCAGTCATCTTCAGAGCATGATCCTCTTACCTATGCCTCCCAAATAGCTGGGATTGCAAACATGAGCCAACATGTTTGAGATACCTTACTTTTTGTCAGTTAGCCTTGAATCATATCATCCTCATTTCTGCCTCCAGAATAGATAAGATTACAGGTGTGTGTGCCACTATGTCAGGCCTTAGGTTCAGGTTTCATAATTCAGAAGAGCTTGATATACTTTCCTATCTTGAAGACAATGCCTAACTGAGGGGTGTTAAATCTCTGAGCAAAACCCCTTCTGAAACAGTAAGTCCCAACTTTTATATCTTGTCATACAGATAATATAACACAAAAGCCCTTCTTAATAAATGCTAACCTTTTTTTTTTGGGTGCTAGTCCTGGGGCTTGACCACAGGGCTAGAATGCTGTACCTGACCTTTTGTGCTCAAGGCTACCACTCTACCATCACTTGAGCCATAGTTCTACTTCCACCTATTTTGGTGTTTAATTGAAGGAAAGAGTCTCAAAGACTTTTCTGCCTAGGCTGGCTTTCAACTGTGATTCTCAGATTTAAGCCTCCTGACTAGCTAAGATTACAGGTATGAGCCACAGGCGCCTGCTATGATGACTATTTTTAACGTATACTATTTTCTAAGAGACAGAGGAATCTAATGATCTCTTGCTTCTTGCTCTAAAGTCACTACTGCTATTTGAGAATATTAACAAATTTCCCAAGTATTTTATAACCTGTTTGTTGTTATATATTCAATATGTCAGAATTAAAGATGAAGATTTTACAATATTATGATTTAACTTACTTTTGAAAGATGGTGCTCAGAGGAGAATCCCAATCCATAGACAGTATTTGCCCGGCTATCGGCCCACTGGCCAAACTTCTGAGATGTTTTAGTAAATGTCATGTTTGGGGTGATGGTACTATTTATTATTGCCTGAAAGATAAAAACAAGTATGTGTAACCAGGCCAAAATTATCAAACAAGCATTTAAGCACAGAACTATTTAGTTCTAAAAATTTAGGATCACTGAAAAACAATCTTTAATGTATTAAGTGTAGAAGTAGTTTCTGGCATAAATGACAATGGAAAAATACAGTAACTAGCAACTATAAATACAATGAAATTCTTTCCACTAAAAATTCAATATCTTATATTTCAAAGTTTTTCTATAATCTAGAAAACATCAAAGCATTTTTAGCATGGTCAGTTTCTTCCCCATGAATGTTTAAGGTCATTGTTTATTTAATTTTAATGACATTCACTAGAAGCAAATAGATCTCAGTCACAACAGTGTTTGCATATTTAACAGAAAGATCCCACATTACAAAAAAATCTTTCAAAATTGAATAGAAAAATCAATAGAAAAAGTGATGCTGGTTTTCTATATCCATAAGAAAAGAAGTTTTCCTAAGGTTGACTTACCTGAAATATATCATGATACTGAAAAGTCTTTCAGTATTTCCTTTACTACAGGGGACAAAACTTACTAAATATAAGCTTTAATTTCTTTTCTTATAAAGTAGTACAATTCATGACAGTATCACTTCTATTTAACACATAATTTCTTAAAAATAGTACTTTAACATGTTATTAAATATTAACTTGGGAGATCATGAAGATAGATTTCAACTATTACAACATCTTAATTCATTGCTCTGCCAGTACCAAAATCATTTTAATACTCTCCAAAATTAAAACTAAAATGTAATTCCAACAGTAATAAAAAAGTAAAAAATAAAAAAAAGCATGCATCTGAGAACATAGAAGAGGATCACAATGGCTTAATAGCTATGTCAATATGACCATATAAAATGATGTTTATCAAAATGAACTCCAAGAAATGGAAACAAGAGGTTTTGTTTTTTTAAAAAGTGGCACTATTTGCAATTATTTCTTTTTTCTTTCTTTTTTTTCCTTTGGTTTATTCCCGGTCACTGTTTTTGATTTCTCTATCCTTTGTCCTGTATGTGTTTATCTGATTTGGGGAACTGAAGGGGAATCACAGAAAAGGTGGGGACAAAGGGTGTATCAATTCAACAGTGGTACTCACTAGCAACTAGGTTGGAAATGACCTTTCCAACTTGCAAGGAGGGGAGTCGGGGGAAGTGGGAGAAAATGAGGGAGTGGGTAACACTGTTCAAAAGAGATGTACTCGTTACCTTACTTATGTAACTATAATACCTCTGTATATCACCTTTACAATAAAATTTAAATTAAAAAACTGAAAAAATGTATGCTATCAAATCCATAAACAGTCATTTAGTGAGCTATTAAAAGTGGAATGAAAAGTCAAACATAGAATAAATTTATCATACACAGTATAAATATAAAATACTTATGAGCTATGCAGGTACGGATGAGTAGCTACATGGATACCTGCCTTATTAAAGACAATAAAACAAAACTGGCTTTTTCCTTTCTTGGACAGAAAGTAGATGTGCTGTCTATTGTTATATGAGAGCACCTTCTTTTTTATTTATTTATTTTTTTGGGGGGGGTCCCGTCGTGGGGCCTGAACTCTGGGCCTGGGCTCTGTCCCTCGGCTCTTCAGCTCAAGGCTAGTGTTCTATCACTTGAGCCACAATGCCACTTCTGGCTTTTTTCTTTTTGCTTATGTGGTGCTGAGGAATTGAACCTAGGGCCTCATGCATGCAAGGCAAGCACTCTACCACTGAGCCACCTTCCCAGCCCAAGAGCCCCTTCTTAATCATCAGCGTAAGCAAAAGTCCATGATACTCCATCTAAGTGAAAAAAGCTGGATGCAATGGCGCATGACTGTTATTCTAGCAATCATGGGAAACCTAAAATAGACTAATCAGGTTCATGCATACACCCAGGTGGGAACTGAGTCCCTACTGTAAACATAATTAGTGCAATAAAGGGCTGGAGGTATGGTGATGTGATTCAAGTAATAGAGCACCAACTTAGCAAGCACATGGCCCTGAATCAAACTCTAGCACCATAAAAAGTAAGTTTCAAATATTTTAGTGAAGATGAATCAGAATAAAACAGAAATGCTAAACAGTATGTAGCAAAACATCAAGATTACATAAAGTAAATGTAACTTACCTTTGAGCCATCTAAACTGATTATCCTATACACATTTCTTGTGCTATCATAAAAATAAGACACAGTAACTGCGTGCTTGCTGGTGGGTACCCAATTCTTCTTTGTGTTTGGGTCAATCTGGAAGACATGAGCTCTAGTGCTGAAGATAGGTTGCTCCCTGCAGGACAGAAAAGAAAATGGCAAACTGAAAGCAGCTTATTTTATTTCATTCAACAAAACAACATGAATTAAAGGAATGACTCTGCATAGCTAACAACTCCCATATACCCCAAATCAGGAGAAACTTTATTTCTAAAGTAAATATTAAGTATTCAGTTATAAGCTTCTTTAAAACAATTATAGAGCAGGGTGCTGGCGTCTTGTGCCTGTAATCCTAGCTGATCACAGTTCAAAACCAGCAAGCCAGAAAAGTCCATGAAACTCTTATCTCCAATAAACTACTCAGAAAAAGCTGGAAGCGGTACTGTGGCTCAAGTGGTAGAGCACTAGCCTTGAGCACAGAGAAGCTCAGGGACTGAGCAAAGGCCCTGAGTTCAAGCCCCAGGAACAGAAAAAAAATTATAGTCCATCCTTGTTATTCAGATTCTACATACACAATTTCACCAAATAAAATTTACCTGCAACTCCAAAGCTAATACAGCATATTTTTACTATTAAAGATAGCCAGATCAGTGGAAAGATGTGAGCCATCTGATATGCTTCCATCTGAATTCAATCGAGACAACATTCTACCTTCTTTTTTCATCATTCATACTATATAAACAAGTGTCCTTTTTTGCATTGTTGGTATTTTCACTGTTTAAGAGGGTCTTCAACATAGTGCTGAAATGTTCCTAACTAAGCTCTGTTTCTAGGTACAGCAAAGCTATATATGCCTTGTGGAGAAAATATATGTTAGATAAGCTTCACTCAGGCATGTATTACTGATGGCCATGAGTTTAATGTTAATTCAGTAACAATACATAAACAGAAAAACACAAAATCTAGTTGTAGTGCCCCATACTATTATCTCAGGCTCTGAGAAGATGGGACAGGAGGATGGCAAACTTGAGACAGCTTCGGCCAAACAGCAAGTTTAAGGCTGGTCTGTACTAATAGTGAGATTATATTTCAAAAACAACCTCCCCCAAAAATAGAAGACATAAGGAAAGAAGGAAGGGATAAAGGAAAGTGGGGAGGAGCGAGAAAGAGAGAGAAATAAAACAATGTTATGTACTGCTAGTTTACAAAAATGTTGGGAATAGAGGCTTGCAGTCAACTGTACTTTTCCTAGAAACAATTGTTGTGTTTGCTAATTCAGTGTTCCTGGTGCCTTTACAGATCATAATTCTACTGTGAAGAATAATACTAATAGATAACTTTAAAAAAAGTTTTGCCTGGCTCAGATCTACCTGTTATTAGGAAGTATAAGTTCAGAAAAAGTAGTACAGCCTTGCACTGGAGATTCATACCTGTAATTCTAGCTACTTGGAAGGCTGAGATCAGAAGAATTGCAGTTTGCAGTCAGCCTACACAAAACAGATCACAAGATCCCATATCTACCAATAAAAATTTATAAACAACAAACGGGTGTGATGGCTAAAACTTGTCATCCTAGCATAAATATAAGGAGTCAGGGTCTAGGCCAGCCTAGACATAAAGTTAAGATTCTATCTCAAAAATAATGAGTGCAAAAAGAGCTGGAAGTATGGTTCAGGTTGTGGAGTTCTTGTCCAGCAGTGCAAGACCCAAGCTCAAACCACAGTACGGAAAAAAAAAGTATCTTCTATTTGACCATCGCATGCTTAACAGATTTTACCTATTTAAAACTAGGCACTGGTGGCTCATTTTACCATTTATAAGCCAGGAACTGGCAGCTCAAACCTGTAATTCTAGCCGCTCAGAAGACTTATATCTGAGGAGCTTGATTCAAAGCCAGGCTGGGCAGTAAAGTTCTCCAGACTCTATCTTCAATTAACCAGCAAAATGTCAGACTGCAGGTATTGCTCAAATGGCAGAGTGCCAACTGTGAGTGAAAAGGCTGAGAGTATGAGGCCCTAAATTCAAGCCCAAGTACTGGCACCCCACCCCCCACCAAATATCCCTAGATTATTCTGCTAACAGACAGCTTACCGAAAACATTTATGGCTAATATACTATACATACTTTCTTTTCTGAAGCAATTAAAAGTACAAAAGAACATTTTAACTGGTAATATTAAATGTTGGAAATTAAATGAATTCCCTTTTTTCACTTCAATAATATCAAATACTATTAAAATATTGAAGAAAAACAGTAACATACAAAACAAAAAAAATGATAAAAAGTCAAAGCAAATCTAGGCTGTTGGCAAAATGGCTCATCAGGTTGATAATACTAAGTAGCTGGGTATCACAGGTCTTCTGTGTCTATTTTACCTAAGTGTGCTGATGTGAAAGGGAAGTACTTTTCCTATAAGTAACCTATCTCCCAGTTTTCTCTGGGAATGTCCAATACAACCTTTATTTTTCCTTTATTCCTTTCTGATGACTCATTCCCTCCTTTTCCTCCCCTTACCTTCCTACCTTCCTTTTTCCTTCCCTCCCTCACTCTTTTCCTCCTTTCTCTGCTTTCCATTCTCCTTTTTCTCCTTCTTTCTAAACAGGGTCTTGCTACATACATACTGACTGAATCTGCCATCCTCCTGAGTGCTGTGAGTGCTGAGTCCTGGAATTACATATAGGTCTTAATTTTCCCTATATAGAATTTCTTCTGAAAATAATTGATAATTTTTTGCCATTCCTTAAAAAAAATGAAACAGAAAGCTATTCCTTCTTGCTTAACTGCTATTATATATGGATTCATTTAACAAAGAATTACTAATCTACAAGGAATCGTGCAGAGTGAAGGATTCTGATTTGTAAAGTCTTATTCTTTCCCCTCCCCCCCATTCTCAATTCTTGACTTGAAGGGAAGTTCTGTTACAACTTGAGTTATCTTCTAAAAGTTGTATAACTTTTTCCACCTTTTAAAGTTCCTGGTAAAAATGTAGCTTATCAAACTAATCATGGCTAGTTCTAAGTAATAACATATAACTGTATTAAAGAATATGAGGAAAGAAGACAGGGCCTTATTCTTTTTTTTTTTTTTTTGGGTTCCATCGTGGGACCTGAACTCTGGGCCTGGGCACTATCCCTCAGCTCTTCAGCTCAAGGCTAGTGCTCTACCACTTGAGCCACAGCACCACTTCCGGCTTTTTTCTTTTTGCTTATGTGGTGCTGAGGAATCGAACCCAGAGCCTCATGCATGCAAGGCAAGTGCTCTACCACTGAGCCACCTTCCCAGCCCAGGGCCTTATTCTTTAATGACTTGATTTTTTTCTTCTGTTAGTTGTAGGGCTTGAACTCAGGGCCTGGGTGTTGTCCCTGAGCTCTTTTGCTCAAGGCTAGTGCTCTACCACTTTAAGCCACAGTGCCACTTCTGGTCTTCTGCTGGTTTACTGGAGATCAAAGTCTCATAGACTTTCCTGCCAGAGCTGGCTTCAAACTTGTAATCCTCAGATCTCAGTCCTCAAAAAAGCTAGGATTACAGGTGTGAGCCACTAGATCCAGCTTGAATTATTTTTTGTTTTTGTTTCATTTGTAGTGCAGGTTAAAGATTGTAGGACTGTGTACTAATAAATAAAAAACACAACGATTTTCAAGCTCTCTATAATCAATTAAACAAATCCACACTCAATGAAAACGCAAGGTTTTCAGTCCAGTAAAAGGTCTCCAGCTGGGTGCTAGTGGCTCACGCCTGTACTCCTAGCTACTCAGGAGGTAGAGATCTGAGGATCAAGGTGCAAAGCCAGCCAGGGCAGGAAAGCCTGTGAGACTCTTATTTCCGATAAATTGCCAGAAAACCACAAGTGGTGCTGGCTCAAGTGATAGAGCGCTCACCTTGAGCTGAAGAGCTGAGGGACAGCGCCCAGGCCCAGAGTTCAAGCCCCACAACTGACAAAAATAAAATAAAAATAAAAAAGCTCTCCACATCCTATTAACTTGTTCAATTAAATTAATCCTTACAATTTAATTTTGTTCTGAATTTAAAAAAGTCTTTTAGTTATAAGGAGACAATATTTCAATATATCTTAAGTACATAGTGTTTTTTTTTTTTTCCGAAATCTGCTATGAACAGCTGGCTTCTTAAAGAGTTATATTTCAAGATTTCTCTGAGATCAAATGCCAACCTATCAAAGTCTGGATGATAAATACCAGGGAAATAATTTTCACTAATAAAAGGAAGAAAATTCCTACAATGACAGTGTAATGCATCTGAAAGTACATACTAATGAATCAGCCAAACTTTGATTGAATTCCAAGATAGAGGCTGGAGATGCATTTGCCTAGTATGTGTTAGGCTTTGGGTTCCCAAACTGCTGTCCTCCTCGTGAAAAGTAAAGAGAAAAGAGAAGAGACGAGGGACAATGCCTGTCCTTTAAAAGTGAGAGAAGACAGACGTATTTAAAATAAAATACGCTCCATCATGAAAAATTATCTGAAAATAAGAAACTGAGGAATACTGAGTAGTATGAGGGAGAAACTGATGCTTAGGGAAAGTTTGAAACAAATTATGGCACAGTGAGAAGAGAGCACAGTACACTATTGTATTCATGAGGAACATTAATAAGTATGAGTGCCTTTGAATGAGACTGGAGTGAAGAAATAAAGAAGCCAGTTCATGAGGGTATGCACTGGAATTGACTGAAATTATAAACAGGAAATAGTCTTGCAGTTTAAAATTAAATAAGACAACGCTGTGTTTGCCTAATATACACAAGGACCTAATCTGGATTATTAGGGGAAGGAGAAAAACCCCAAAAGATTGGCATGTAGTAGGAAGCAGCCACATATGTTGCTAAACACATACAATGCAGGACAGACAGCTTCTTACAACCAAGAATTATTCAGCCCAAGAGTTTGGGCCAAAGTAGGGAAATCCTGATTAGGATCCTGATGTAGAAAGAACATGAATCTTCTAGATTTTTAGTCTGGGATTGACTGAAAAGATCACAGTGCCAGTATGCAGGAAGAGAAGCAGAAAGAAGATTAAAGGATCAGATGAGAAAAGCAATACTACACATGTTAATAAATGTCATTTAGGGGAAAATAAAACTTTTAAGAGAGCTGGGCACTGATGGCTCATCCCTGTAATCCT